GGCGGCTCCGGCGCGGCGCAGGGCGGCTCTGGGGGAGGGGAGGGGGCGGGTGGCCAATCGGAGGGGAGAGAGAGGCGAGGCGGCCAATCAGAGGTCGAATCGGGGCGGTGGAAGTGAAGGGAGGTCCAATCAAGGCAACGCAACCCAAGTCAACCCAACCCAACTGAACTCATCTAATCCAACCCAACTCAACCAACCCAATCCAACCCAAGTCAACCCAACCCAACTGAACTCATCTAATCCCACCCAACTCATCCAACCCAACCCAACTCATCCAACCCGACCCAACCCAAGTCAACCCAACCCAACCCAACTGAACTCATCTAATCCAACCGAACTCAACCAACCCAACCCAACCCAACCCAAGTCAACCCAACCCAACCCAACTGAACTCATCTAATCCAACCCAACTCAACCAACCCAATCCAACCCAAGTCAACCCAACCCAACGTAACCCAACCCAACCCAACTGAACTCATCTAATCCAACCCAACTCATCCAACCCAACCCAACTCATCCAACCCAACCCAACCCACCCAACCCAACTCAACCCAACCCAACCCAATGCAACTCAACCCAACTCAACCAACCCAACCCAGCTCAACCCGACCCAACCCAACTCATCCAACCCAACCCAACCAACCAATCCCAACCCAACTCAACCCATCCGACCAAAATCATTCAACCCAACACACCCCAACCCAACTCCACTGAACCAAACCCAACTCAAATCAACCCAATCCAACTTGACCCAACCCAACCAACCCAACCCAACCCAACTCATCCAACCCAACCCAACCCAACTCAACCCAACCCAACCCAACCCACCCCACCCCAGCCCGTCTCCCAGTCCTCCCCTGCCCCACCTTTGCTCTTGTTCCTCATGGCCGATTTCAGCAGCGCCGCCTTCAGCGCCGCCTTGGTGTCGTCCGAGATGGCGCCGTCCCTCTTGGGCGCCGCCGGCGCCTCCGGCTCCGCCTTCACCCGCGGCGAGTCCATGGGGCAGTCGGGGGCGGGGCCGGGGCTGGGCATGTCCACGTCGGCGCAGGGCGGCCACGCCGGTGCTACGCCCACGTCGGCTGCGTTGACGTCGACATCGGCTTTCCCACCGGCGGCGGCGGCGGGCGCGGGCGCGATCTGGCGCCGGATGCCGTCGCGGCGGGCGTGGAAGTCGGCGATCTCGGCCACGATGGCGGCCTTGATCTCCTCCTTGGTGAGCGCCTGGCGGTCGAAGGCGAAGTCGAAGGCCGGCACGCACTCGGGCTCGTCCTCGGGGTCGTGGTACTTGGCCAGGAAGGGGTGGCGCAACGCCTCGGCCACGCCGACGCGCTCCCGCGGGTCGAAGCGCAACATCCGGCCCAGCAGCGCCAGCGCCGCCGGCTCGGCCCCGCCGAACAGGCTCTCCCAAGGCACCGGCGGGCGCGGCGGCAGGCTCTGCACGTAGGCGCGCACCCGCTCGGCGCCGATGGCCGCCATGACGCCGGGCGGCGGCGTGCCCAGCACCGCCATGATCAGCTGCAGCTGGTGGACGTAGTTGCGGCCCGGGAAGAGCTGCCGGCGGCCGAGCATCTCGGCGAAGATGCAGCCCACCGACCACATGTCGATGGCGCGCGTGTAGCGGTGCAGCGACAGCAGCAGCTCCGGCGCGCGGTACCAGCGCGTGGCCACGTACTCGGTGAGGAAGGCCTTGGCGTGGCGCGGGTCGGCGCCCAGCCCGCGCGCCATGCCGAAGTCGCCGATCTTGAGCTCGCAGTTCTCGTTGACCAGCAGGTTGCTGGGCTTGAGGTCGCGGTGGAGGACGTTGGCCGAGTGGATGTACTTGAGGCCGCGCAGGAGTTGGTAGAGGAAGTAGCGGACGTGCTCCAGCGTCAGCGGCTGCGCCGAGTGGATGATCTGGTGGAGGTCGCTCTCCATCAGGTCCAGCACCACGTAGCTGCCATGGAGGGGTGGTGGCATCAGCGCGGCGGCGGCGTGGGGAGGGAGGGGTTGGGTTGGGTTGGGTTGGGTGATGGGAGTTGGCGCGAGTCAGTGGAACGCAAGGAGACTCGACCCAACTCAAACCAACTCAAACCAACCCAACTGAACTCAACCCAACTCAAACCAACCCAACCTAACTCAACCCAACTGAACTCAACCCAACCCAACACAACACAACCCAATGGAACTCAATGAAACCAACTCAACCCAACCCAATACAGCTCAACCAAACCCAACCAAACCCAGCCCAACCAACCCAACCCAACTCAATCAGCCCAACCCAACCCAACTGAACTCAACCCAACCCAACTCAACCCAACTCAACCCAACCCAACCCAACTCAACCCAGCCCAACTCAACCAACCCAACCAACTCAACCCAACACAATCCAAGCCAAGCCAAGCCAAGCCAAGCCAAGCCAAGCCAAGCCAAGCCAAGCCAACTGACCTCAAACCAACCCAACCCAGATCAACCCAACCCAACTCGACCCAACCCAACTCAACCCAACCCAACCCAACCAACTCAACCTAACCCAACTCAACCCAACCCAACTCAACCCAACCCAACCCAATGAACCCAACCCAATCCAACGCAACCTAACTGAACTCAACCCAACCCAACCCAACCCAATCAACCCAACTCAACCCAACCAATCCAACTCGTCCAACCCAACCCAACCCAATCAACCCAACTCAACCCAACCAATCCAACTCTTCCAACCCAACCCAACCTAAGCCAACCCAACCAGCCCAACTCAACCCGGCCCGGCCCGCTCCCCGCGTCGCCGCCGGGCACGCACACGGAGCGGAACTCGCCGTAGGGCCCGGCCGGCCGCAGGATGTCCTTGATGCCGATGATGTTGTCGTGCTTGAAGTGCTTGAGGATCTTCAGCTCGCGCAGCGTCCGCTTGGCGTTGGTCACCACGTCGAAGGCGTTGGGGATCTTCTTGATGGCCACCTGCTGGCCTGGGGAGGCAGGCGAGCTCCAGGTGAGCCCCGGGTGTGCCCAGGTGAGCCCGGGTGTGCCCCAGGTGTGCTCAGGTGAGCTCTGGGTGTGTCTCAGGTGTCTCCAAGTGTGCTCAGGTGTCTCCAGGTGTGTTTTGGGTGTCCCCAGGTGTGTCCTAGGTGAGCCCAGGTGTGCCCCAGGTGTGCCCAGTTGTGTCTCAGGTGAGCCCTGGGTGTGCCCCGGGTGTGCCCAGGTGTCTCCTGGTGTGTTTTGGGTGTCCCCAAGTGTGCCCAGGTGTGTCCCAGGTGTCTCCAGGTGCATTTTGGGTGTGCCTGGGTGTGTCCCAAGTGTGCCCAGGTGTGTCTCAGGTGTCTCCAGGTGTGTTTTGTGTGTCCCCAGGTGTGCCCAGGTGTGCCCAGGTGTATTTTGGGTGCCCCCAGCTGTATTTTGGGTGCCCCCAGCTGTATTTTGGGTGCCCCCAGGTGCATTTTGGGTGCCGCCAGGTGTATTTTAGGTGCCCCCAGGTGTATCCCAGGTGTGCCCAGGTGTATCTGACCTATCTCAGGTGTCCCCAGCTGTCCCCAGCTGTATTTTGGGTGCCCCCAGGTGCATTTTGGGTGCCCCCAGGTGCCCCCAGCTGTATTTTGCGTGCCCCCAGGTGTATTTTGGGTGTGCCCAGCTGTTCCCAGGTGTATCTTGGGTGCCCCCAGGTGTATTTTGGGTGTGCCCAGCTGTCCCCAGGTGTATTTTGGGTTCCCCCAGGTGTATTTTGGGTGTGCCCAGCTGTCCCCAGGTATATTTTGGGTGCCCCCAGGTGTATTTTGGGTGTGCCCAGCTGTCCCCAGGTGTATTTTGGGTGCCCCCAGGTGTATTTTGGGTGTGCCCAGCTGT